TAGTTATATGAAAACCAGTTTTGAATTGTCACTGGGCCATGTGAAGCCCCCAGCATGTGAGCTGAGTTTTATTGAAGTGTGCCTTAATCTCTTTGAAACCAAAACTGTTCAGAAGGTTTGCATTAATGGTGAGTGTTAGATACCCAGCTCCTGAGGAGCTTTGATCTCTTGTGTGCTGCCTCCAGCAGGGGTCAGGGATCCCTGCTGCTCCTCAGGTGGGTTGGGTATTTGGGTAACAAGGCAAAGGATTCCATTGGGAACAAGGGCTCTGCTGCTTTTTTTTCTGTCTGGAAGGTAAAGCTGGCTCGTTGTGTTGTGAATCCCATCATGTCCCATCCCCAGGAGCTGGGTGATGGAGTCACTGTGCAGTACAGAGTATCTACAGACAGTCTGGGAGCATGGTAGGAAACCAGATTATCATTTAAAATGAGTGAAACTACTTAAAGACATGTGAGAGAAAGAAGCTGCAAAAACCTGCAGTGAAACACTTCTCACTGCCCCACAGAATGGGGAGTAGCAGCAAGAGTGTTCAGCTGGAGAATGCCCTCCCAGCTATAAAATGTTTCAGTCCCGTGTTCTGTATTTTGGAATTCAGCATGTGGTCTATTGTGCCTGGCCAGGTCAGCTCCTCTCTGTGCCTGTCAGACCATTCCTTGAATACCAGCCTCCCTGGGAAAACCAAGAAATCATGGAGTGCTTTTAAAAGCATTTAAAAGGCAGCCTGGCAGGAGAGTTAAAATGTGAAGACTGACAGCAGATGTCATGTTAAAGACTTTTTTTCAGGTAGCACGAGGTGGTGGGGCTGAAGCACAGGAGGTGGGCAGTTTGGTTTTGGTTTTTTTTTTTTTGCTGTGTAACCCAAAGGGATTTATCCTTGCTGGGAGGTGGGGTGGCTGCAGGGTGGTTTGGTACAGGACAGGGGGAATGGACTCACTCAGTGCCTTCAGGTGTGTGTGTGTGGGAGTCCTGGAAAAACAGGACCCTGAGCACTTGGGCCTTTGTGTGATTTTTGGGTGCAGAGCTCGCTGTTCAAATCGTGCTCCACAGGCTTTTGGAAAAGCCTTGGGTGCCTTCAGGGCACTTCTGCCAAGCAGCTGCAGAGCTGCATTCCTCTGCTTGCCAATATCCAAAAATTATTTGCATGCCAGTATGATGGAAGTAGGTATCTGAAATGATTCCTAAAACCTTGAATTACCAGTTTTTGAAGGCGCTCAGACCTTCAGTTGTGGTTTTTGGAAGGAGCACTGTGTGCACATCACTCGTGGTGTGTTACTGGCAGCCCCAGCAGCTCAGACATCCCTCTGCTCATCGTTCTCTCCAAGCAGGGCTGGGCTCTGCCCTGGGGGACATTTCAGAAGCAGAGCTCATCTCCCTGCTGCTCTCTCCTTGGGCAGTCCCACCTCCTCCATCAGGACAGCAAGCTGGGAAGGGAGGTTTTAGTTCCCAGCTCACTGTGAGCCCGAGCTGCCTGTGTGGGTCTGTTTGGGCACTGAGAGGAGCAGCAGGGTGGCAACAGTGACTGGCTGAAGCAGAATGGAGACTTGGCTTTAATTTTAAGCTGTGGATGAAATCTTGACTGTTTGTAGAAAGCAAGAGAGAACAGTCCAGGGATGATTCTGCTCGCAGATCAGTGGCTGGAACAGAGCTCTGAAAGTGGCTTCTTTAAACTCCTGTGCTTCCCCTGCCCTCGTGTCCTTGTCAGTGCACTGAGCCCCAATAAGACACTGTAATTACTATTGAAATCTCCATTGCAGTAATGAGCACCATGACAAACAGGAGAATAACCCAGAGGGTTTGCAGTTACCGTGCTGGGCTGGTGAGCGTGGTTGGAGGTTGGGGCTTCACATGTCTGAGCATCAGCTGTGTGGGGAGGGCATTCCTGCTCCCTGCAGGGGCTCTGCTTGATGCTCAGTTCTCAGTGGTTCAGCTCGGCTCTGGCACCCAGCTTTGCCCTGTGTTCCCACTGCAGTGGCTTTGCCAAGGGTGCCAGCTGATGGTGCCATCTCCCCTTGCCGTGGCGGTGTCTGTGGTGGCACGGTGAGCCAGATGGGCATCTCAGCCCACCTTGCAAAAACGCATTTCTTTCCCTCCAGCCAAATCTGTCCTTCCCCATCTGGTTAATCGCTCAGGCGTGGGGAAAGCTGTGCCAGTACGGAGGGGGTGTGATGTGCAAACGGGAATGAGTTCCTGGAGGGCTGTGGGAGGATGAGCATTGGTCTTTAAGCAGCTTTTCTGCTGCTTATGAAACCACAGGCTGGGCAACCACAGCTCCCTGTGCAGTGGTGTCGTTCTATATTTTCCTGCACTTGAGATTCAGCGTGGCTCACTCTGCTGCCGTGTGCTCTGTGCTGCTCTGTCCTTGCAATTTTGGGGATTTAGGCATGGAGAACCTGTTCAGTGCTGCCCTGCTCTGCAGGTGGGTTCCTCCTCCACAGGCTGTCCTGTGTCCCTGCAGGTGTTGGAGTGGCTGCAGTGGGGTTGTGGTGTGTTCTCCAGTATCCTCTCTGCTCCACTATCCCGTGATGTGGTTTGCTCCCTGTTCCCATATTTGCATTCAAGTTCCAGCGAGCTGGGGACAATCACAGCCATGCCATGCCAGGGACCTGGCAGTTGTCCTTTTATCCCCAAACCCATCTCACCCATGTGTTGGTAACCTATAGCCCATCCCTGTATTCTCCACAAGAATTTAATTGAATAAACGTATTTATTGCAATGTACAATGATATCCAAGCCATTGCTGCCAAACAGGCTATTTGATACCAAGCTTTGCTTTTTAGATAAATTTCAATAGCACTGCTACTAAGTGGTTTTATAGACCATTACTTTTGGCCAATTCATGAGCTATCACACTAACGTGTTTTCAGATGAATTGCCTTTATTATCCTACTAATACAATTAATGTATCTTCTCGTGGTTACCTCGTCCTGCACGTTGTTTTTGTCAGAGGTGGAACAGCATTAACTACATAGAATAAAACCTTTCTTTAGAAACCTACTGGGCTTTCCAGAGCCCTGGCTCTGTTTCTCAGAAATCACAAAGGTTGTCAGTGTATTTTTCTTGGCTTCCTACGTAGGAAGCATTCCTAAGTAAGGGAATAAACCTGTGAAATTCCTTGTGGAGGATGGGAAAGTACCTGGGGGTGAAGGACATTCCACAGCAGGCACCAGCAGGTGAATGAAATACAAAGTGGGTGATTGAGAGAGAAGGTTAATTAGTGAGTTCGGTGATTAGTGGTCCCTGTCACAGGCAGGGCAGGACAGGATCTCCTTCCACCCTCCCGTGCTTCCTGCAGCTGGGAGCCTCCACCTGCACCCACTGCATTTTCATACAAACCATCAGAGGAGTTACACGTGTGCCAGCATCCACCGGGCTCTTTCTACTCCCTCCCTCTCTCTTTTTTAAGCTTTCAGCTTTTAAAGTTTTTTTTTTTTCCTCCCAGCATTGTGGACACTTGGAACGTGGGTGTAGTGGGGAGCTGAATGCAGCTGTGTGGATATTCCTGCCTTGCACCTTGTGAAGTTGTAGTTGAGTGTGTCAGCTTTGGTCAGCAGGGCTGCAGTGAGTTTTTAATCTCAGTGATGGTGCCCGTGGGATGGCAGGGGAGCAGCCCTGGTGATGCTGAGCTCCTCCTTCCCTGGAAAACAAGCAGCCCCTCCTGAGCACAATGAGTTTTGGGGGTCGGGGGAGAGCAGTTGGTTACCAAAATTAGTGCCTTGCCTCCTGGTTTTTTTTGTTTTTGTTTTTTTTTTTAAATAACGGGATGTTGTGCTCGTCTGGCAGCCTGGGGACATCTGGTGCTGTCAGAGCAACGTGACTGCTGAGATGCAGTGAAGGCAATGCCCTGGCCAGGGAAAGATTACAAATATCAGCTAATAAGCTTTAAAATTACTTCAACAATAGGTGTTCAGGAAGATGGGTGGACAGAGATTTAGGAAATCTATTTCTCTTCCTGACTTCTTTAAAAATAAAAAGTTACAAATGTAGGTTTAGTCTAATCTTGAATTTTGAGGTCAGCCCAGAGCAGGAAGAGCTAGAATCTATTATGTCTGAAGTGATATGGATTGGTTTTATGGATCTGTAATAGTTGAAATCCATTTTTTACTGGAATCATTGTTGAGTTTATTCTTTTGTTGTAATGTGCAGCATCATGGTGTTAATCCAGCGATTTGTTGTAGTTCCTTATTTTTAGTTCAATTTTTTTAGATTGCTGGTCTCAACAGCAGATCTATTTCAGTAGTTTCACTCAACTTTTCCCATAAGTATGTTTGCTGTTCCGTTGGGATGTTGATAGAAAACTGTAACGGGAAGGAACGGCTCAGTGACAGCTTTGAACAGATCTCTTCATGCAAATCTGCTTTTCCCTCCTATGCAAATGTTAAGGAGAAGTGTAATAGATATGTAAGCTGTTAAGTATGAACCAGCTGGATTTTCTGGCTTTGTGAGGCTCACATTCACTCCTTTACCTTTGTGCTCCCCAGAGGTGAACTGGGGGAAGGGGGAGGGTGCAAGGCTTGGTTTAAACCTGGCTCCTGTCCTGGCAGAGCCTGTGGTGGTGGAGCTGGGGACAGGGCAGCCTCCTGAAATCCAGGGGTTCCCTTCTGCTCCCCCACACCCTGGGCTGTGTCTGAGGGCTGCCCTGGGCCACAGGAGAGCTGGCCCTGGAAGGGAGGTGGTGAAAATTCGTGGGTGAGGTGCCCCCACTACCTGTACTGAGTAGCCCAGGCACTGCTGATCTTGTCTTTGCTCTGATAAAACAGCGTGGCTTTGCAGTAGGTTTGTTTGCTTTTGTTTTTATTTTCTAACCAGAATGTACAGGTAGTATCTGTCATAACATTTTGTCAAACTCTCACCATCTGAATCAAAGCTGATGATTCTGGACATGCTCTAACCTTCACTTACACTAAGTGGATGTTTTGTGTTTAACAGGCTGCATTTAAATTTCTTTTTAAGATGCACTAACAATAAAAAAATTAGCTCATGGAGCTCTTTTCTTCTGGCAGAAATGACTGCTGTCACTGCAGCCAACGTGAACTTCAAATGGGACCCCAAGAGCCTGGAGATAAGGACCCTGGCAGTGGAGAGGCTGCTCGAGCCTCTTGTTACACAGGTAGGAGAAGATGGGGCAAAATAAACATGATTGCCTGTTTTGATGTTTTATTCTAATCAGGTCACAAAGCTTAAATTCTAGGTGTAAAACGCTATGAACTAAAAATAAACAAGTGTGTGAGCAGTTTCTTAGCTCAGTTTCATTGGAGCAGTCACTGGCAGTGAGTCCAGGGAGGCTGTGCTGCTTCAGCACCTGATTAGACCCAGTCGTTACTGCCGTGCATTTCTGCACTTCTGATTGAAATAATGCTCTGTGCCTACACTTTGTGCTGGATTTGTGAATAAAAGCTCCTTTCTTGTGGTGTATATGCCCCAGTGGAAAGCTCTGAAGAACACAGGAAGGCTGCAGTAAAGTCTTGTAAATGGGAGCTGTGTGTATTGGGTGTCTTGAAAATTCTTGGAAGAGACTTTCTAGGAGGTCTGGAAGAGAAGGTGCACAGGAGACAGTTCACTTGTTGGCATGGTTTTCTGGGATGTGAAATGTCTAAAATGACAGAATGAGCTGGACACAATCCCTGCTAAGTAGAGACAGCAATGATCAAGTTTTGTTTCCAATATTATTCCCTGTAGTCACCAGGCTGCTGTCTGTACCTGTACTTGTTCCTTCTGGATCCTCAGGTGGGCAGTTGGATGTTGAGGCTTTTCAGCTGAAGTTACTGATGGAGTCTTTGCTTAGGAGAAATTGGCCTAATTTGACAAACTTAACCGAGCAGAGGACCTTTCACAGAGTGCAGCATTCACAGGACCTTTGTCACCCAGGGCAATGTCTGTAATTTACTCCTCAAGGAATAAGCACAACAGGCTGCACTGGCAATCCCCAGTTTGGTGAATGATGTGAGTGGCAAAAATACAGAGAGGGGAAGTGGAGCAAATTGCCTTGTTGCAGCTTGTTCTTTATTTGTAGAACACGAAGAACTGAGAATGCCCAGTACAAATGTATGCTCCCCATTAACCAACCATGGTATTCCCAACTGAAGGCTTTCCCTCTCTGCAGCAGCCAGCTGGGAAGATGGATTCAGCTCTGAGGACCTTTATGTCAGCAGTCCTTGGGCTTTCCAGAGCAGTCATTTTTTTAGTGTTGTAATTTAATGTCCCTCTCAAGTAGCTTTGTGTGCATTTTCTGCAAAGGAGAGGAAAGAATGAGGCAAGTGGAGAAGTGAGTGTGGATTTTGTGACATGCCTGTGTTGGATGGGAGGGGATGGATCCTGATCCTGAGCTCAGGGACTACCTGGGGCTCTCCTGGCCTCTGGTGATGGCTCTGCTCCCAACAGGGTTTCAGTCTAAGACACAGAGCTTGGAAATATTTGCTGATTGCAGGATGACTGTGGGAGTTCAGTTGGGTTTTTTTAGGGAAATAACGAGCTCGACCAAATCCTTTGCTCTGCATTCAGCCCTTTGGCTATAGCACTGATTTGGACTGGAAAGAAACTGTGTGTCTGCATTTCTACTGGCACAGACTTCAGCCTTGTCTGGGGTCTCCTATGACTGGAGTTAGCCCAAACTAATTATCCCCACCCTGGTTTCCTTTATTGGTGCCAAAGAGCTCTGGCTTGTTACTGAGACTGCAGCTTATCAAAAATACAAATAGATCTCCATTCTTAAAAGCAACTTTTAAGGTGTGCTGCTGGTAAGAGAAATCTTTGAGTTGTTTAGCTGCATTTATTTTGCTCATCTAAAGAATCAAGAAGCATGGTAATGTTTAAATGGGAAAAACCCTCTTTGGGTTAACTTTTGCATCAGGCAGTAGTGCAGCTATTAGCAATACACTGTCCAGAAAAAAAAAAAATACACGTGGCCTTACTGTCAAATGAATAAATACTAAATTTGATGTTGGGTTTTTTTTCCCTTCCATCTGTGCCTTTAGGTAACAACACTGGTTAACACCAGCAACAAGGGCCCCTCCAATAAAAAACGAGGCCGTTCTAAAAAGGCTCATGTCTTGGCTGCTTCAGTCGAGCAAGCAACAGAGAATTTCCTGGAGAAAGGAGACAAAATTGCCAAGGAGAGCCAGTTCCTGAAGGAGGAGCTGGTGGCAGCTGTGGAAGATGTTCGTAAGCAAGGTAAGAGTGGGGATCTGGTGGCTCCTCAGGCAAGGAGAGCCTTTCCCATTTCCCTTTGCTGCTCTTTCTGATGACTCTCAGTTTGTGGGTTCTCAGCTTGCCTGGCTGGCATCCCTGAGCAATAATGTAACTGGACAGGTCTGGAAATTGCATGGCCCAAGTAGAGGTTAAGAAGAAAAGCAGAAGGGCTGATTCTTTGAAGAGCATTTAAAAACTCAGTTGAGGCTCAAAAGGAAAAGGGTTCCCCACAGCTATGAATTTTATGGGACTACATCTGAAATAATGTCAATAATTCCTTCAGTATGTGACTGTATACAGACCAGCACTGCAGGAGGAAGAGCCAAGTGTTGACTCAACAGAGACGTGTTTCTTGAATATGGAAAATGTAAACAGCACCAAACAGAATGTGAAGACCTTGATTAAATATTCCAGGCTTCCTTCCTCATATCTAATGTTGATTTTTATCATTCTCCTTTTTTACTTTCTTGGAGCAGACCTGCAAGAAAAGCCTATGGAGCTGACTTACTCTAAAATATTCACTAGTAAATATTGTTGCTCATAAATCATTTATCATTCTTCCAGTCATGAGTCTTCTCTATGCTTCAGTGAAACCCAGTCAACTGGTATTAATGGTGACGGCTGCTGCTGCAAAAAAGGGAAAACTCATTAGCATTAATTACTTGTTTGTAGCTGAAGTTGCAGAGTGGTGAAATATTAGTTAAAAATGGTTCTAAGTACTGGATGAGCCTGGTTGACAGACCAAAGAAAGATCAAGGTAAGAAGGCTGCAATATAAGGGGCTAATTGAGTTGGCTTAATTTAACAACAACAAACAGCAAGGGAGCCCCTTTGACTGGGAGCTTTAATTGTTGGTGCTCCTCTGCTGCTCAGTGCAGTCAGAGCTCATCTGGGGCTGCCTCCAAATGGCTCAGTGATGCTGGGAGAGAGGACAGGGAGCTCTGCTCAGGACTGACAACTTCCCTGGGCTGCATTTATAGCTGAATATTGCAGTGAGAAGCTGGTGGGAAGGAGAGAGTGATAAAAACCTTTCCAAGTGACCCTTTCCCATGTTTCTTGGCTCCTTCTTGGTTCTGAGACTACACACAGGCTCGATGCCAAAACCTCCCTGCTCTGTTGGCTTTGACAGAGGAGGTGAAGCTCATAACTGAGTGAAATAACTTCCCACCTTAAAGTTGCTTCACTTCTTGCTCCCTTTTTGCTGTTTGCAGCTTGTGTGGATGCTGGTGTGACAGGGGTGGCTGTTCCTGTCTGCTCAGACACCACAAGTGGTGCCCACCATCCTCTGGAGTGACACAGCTCAAACACAGCCAGGGGCCAGAGCTGGGACAGGTTGAGCAGAGCAGCTCTTGGTGGGGGAGTTAAAAATCAATCCAGCCTTTGAGGAAATGAGGAGCTAGTGGTGAAAAATGAGTTAGAACAGGGGGAAGGGTTATTGCTGGCAGTGCCCAGGAGGATTGCAGTTCTCAGCAGTGCCAGTAACAGCAGGGTGCTAGAACCTCTCAGTTTATGGGGTTATGTACACTCTGTGCCCTCCCAGTATTGTGTCAGACCAGCAAAATTCATGAATTGGAGAAAGGAAAGTGTGACACAAAGCCTGTGCATGTGCTCAGCAAATTTCCTGGTGTTGGTGCCCTCACCTCCCTTTTGCAGGAGTGCAGAGGAGAATCTGGCTGTCGTGGTCAGCAGCAGCAGTGGGATTATGGATACACAGCACAATTAATCTTCAGCAGAGGACAGGAAAATAGCATTAATAATGCCTCTGTGTTTAGAGTAAGGAGTGGTTTAGCTACCATAATAAAAAAAGATGAATGAATGCAGACAGGGATTATGAAGATGATTAGGACAATAGATAACTTGTCTCATCAGAGAAAATTAAAAAAATTTTTTTTTAGCCTAGCAAGAAGAAGATTGAGAGAGTACATGATTTTAGTGAGCATGCTTGTTCATAAAATCCCATTTGTTGGGGGTAAAAACAAAGAACTGAAAAGAGCTATTTTGAATGAATAATAGCATGGCTGCCTACTAAATCAATGTAAGTGGATCTTCAAAATCTTCTTGTTTTTTACAATGGAAGAATAAATTACAGCAAGCAAGTTAATGAAATATCCTACTGTAAGATTCCTGTCCCTTTAAAGCTTTGGACTTTGGATTTCTTATAAAGTAATGAAACTTTTTCAGGTTTTGAGCAGAAGAGTGGAGATAAGAAATCAAAGTGGTTTTCAGAATAGATCCTGCTGTGGTTATAGAAAAGACTTGGTACTGAGAAAGCATTTGATGTGAACATCTTGAATTTCAGCATTGCTGTAGTGTTTGTCACAGACATTTCTGCCAGCAGAGGTGTGCAGGGTGACAGAAGGTGCAGCCCTCTCCCCACTGCAGACCCTGTGGGTCTCACTCTGCCCTCTTGGGAGGGGTTTTGGACCCTGAACCAGTCCCTTACCCAGTGCTTGGCACTCGGGCAGCTTCCAAACTGGGCTCAGAAGGGAATTTCTTTGGGGTCAGGCTGTTCCTGATTCTCTGGAATGCTGATGGCTGCAGCTCTGTCTCTGTCTGCATGTGAGTGTGGGGATCCAGGAATTCTCTGTGCTCTCCTCTTGTGTGTCCTCTATGGCAACTCTACACAACAGAGCAGAATTAAAGCTTAACAGTAAAAAGCCTAAGCCTGTGATAGGGTTTGAGGTAAGAGGAGGGATAAATGCTTTGATGGCTCAGATTGCAAATGCAGGGGAATGAGCCAATTGATTGAGCTCAGAGTCCTTCTGCCTCGTGCTTCTAAGTGAAGGGTTCTTCAAAACTCAGCAGTGAGATGAATTATGAAAGGGGGAAAACAGTTTTTTCATTGTACATCACACAGGATGTCTGGCTTAAGGATTTCCAAGGAGCAGGAGGAGGCCAGTTGTGGAACATCTCAAAGTTAAATACTGAATTCTTCTTGGAAAATTCAACTTGAAAATTCTATAGTTAGCTGAATTTCTTAGAAAGGTACAGTGGGTTGAGTTGGTTTCTTGCAGCAAAGCTTTAGGAGTGTGCCACTTAGAAAAGCCTTAAACTTGAGGGAGCTCTGAGGTGGCTCTTGGCAAACTGCAGGAGAGTTTAGGCAGTACATGGATTTAATTGAGGACAAGATTGAGGAATTATCAGGAGTTTTTGTTGCCATAAGTATCAATTCCTGTGTTGCTATGGCAAAAGGGGGTGTGGGGAGCACAGGACAGCCCTCGGTGACACTGCTGGTGGCTGTTGGAGGTGACATTCATGGTGAGATAGGACTTGAGCCTCCAGAGCAGCAGAGACTTGAAACTCTGATTTCCTGCTTGCCTTCATTTGGTGGGGAATGGCAACCTCTGGAGAAGTGTGGTGGGTGCTGTGGGCAGGAGGGAATGGCCTGGTGGCACTGGGGTGTCCTGGCTGTCCCTGCTGGTCTGTCCTGCTGCCACTGCTGCTGTGGAGCAAGTTCCTGGTGTTCCACAGGTCACCAGTGCTGCCACACCCTGTGGGTGTAGGAGGAAAGAAACTAGAAAATGAGAATTTTCTTTTGATGGACTGGAGTCTGGCCATTTCTAAAATGGGCTTTGTTCCATTAAATTTAATTGAATTCTTAGTGCTTTATTGACAGGATCATAGGATGGTACTGTTGCCTCTTCTCTACTCTGTTTTATTTGCTTTCCTTTCTAGATATATCTACTATATCTATATATCTAATGAAGATCTAAGGTTCTATTGGAAAAACAGTCTAGTCGTGTAAGAATTTGTACCAGCTTTATAATCTGAGTCTCATGGTTGGACTCTTCTCCAGTGTGTTACTTTAACTCTTAAAATCCATCTCACCAAGTGATTGTGCTGCCTGTGCCCTCTGAATCCAGCTAAAAAAATTAGCCCAGGGTGCTTTCCCTTTATAAAAGAAGTCTGAAAGCCAGCTTGCCTTAATTGGCAGAAATGTATATATATGCAACAACTTTAAATATAATCTGCTTTTAATTTTGGGAAGCTGGTTGTCTTTTGACACCCTGACAAGCTGTTTGAAACTCACTAAATCTTTTAAAATCTCTTGTAAAAATAAAAGGGAATAGCATTTTATTTTAGGACTGGCTTGAAAGGTTGCAATTGAAGAGATGAGTACAGGATAATTTTGGTTTTTAACTTCATTAGCAATTTCTGAGATTCACGTGAAGCAAGTGGCCCCTTCAATAAGTTGTTTTAAATAGAAAATAAATGAAAACAACATTTTGAGTGTTGAAAATGTGGGAATTTTACGTATAAGTAAATAAGGAAGGGAATATTTGTACTCAGTTTTGATTCTGGTATATCACAGAGTGGCCTGGATTGGAAAGGACCTTAAAACTCACCCAGTGCCACCCCTGCCATGGCAGGGACACCTCCCACTGTCCCAATGTCCAACCTGGCCTTGGGCACTGCCAGGGATCCAGGGGCAGCCACAGCTGCTCTGGGCACCCTGTGCCAGCCCTGCCCACCCTGCCAGGGGACAATTCCTGCCCAAAATCTCACCCAAACCTACTCTGTTTGAAGCCATTCCCCTTTATTGTATTACTTCATGCTCTTGTCAATATGCATCCTTAAATCCTGAAGTTGTCAATGGATTTCATACTTGTGGTGATGACTTTTATTATTAGTCTATTCCAGAAGGAATAAAGAAAGGGTCATGGCAGCTCTGTTGGGGTTTTTAGTCTCCTGGCTGTTTGAAGCTTTCAGCATTGGTGGTACAGCATCTCTCACCCAGCTGGAAATGTGGAAATCTTGTTCAAGTCATGACTTGTGTTCCCCAAAGCTGGGTAGGGATAGCTTTGGGTTGATATTCAGAGCTGGCCAGAAGCTTTTTTGCCGTGTCCCAGTACAGAAGTAGCATATTTTTATCTTAACATGTTATGTGCCACTCTTGGTTGTATTATTTAAGATGATGGAAGGGTGTTACATAGTGGGGAACATTTGAACAAAATCGAGTATCTCGGTGTGGTTGCTTGGGCAGGCTGGCAGCTGTGCTTGGGCTGAATTTAGCTGTGAAGGTGTAGAGTGCCTGGGTGGGAAAAACTTCCTGGGCAAGATATTATGTATGAGGATGGTTAACCCCAGGCTCTCCAGCTGTTGGCATTGCTGAGCAGTTAAAAATAAGCTGTTAAATGAGCAGAAGCCTCCTGGGACTGCAGGAGAGATTTTGGTGCAGCCTTTGCCCTGTTTGGTGTGGGGGGCTCCATGGGATTCACTGTCAGCTGTCACTTGTCAAGCTCTGGTGGAGGTTTTTTAGGCTCATCTGAGGCAGGCTATTTTTATTTTGGCATTTGGCTACATGGACACTTTTTCATACAGGTTTTTGGGAAGCCTCTGAAACAGCAGCTAGCTAGAGCAATCTGCTTTCTGGTCATCTCTTGCTGCCTGCAAATCCGTGACCCTGAGACCCTACTGTTTTCTAAAACTAAGTCCTAGCTGTTCTCTCAGTGTTTCTGAGATGCAGAGAAATCCAAGGATAACAGTGTGGATTCCAACACTTAGTGCTATGTAGGAACCGTGGTACTGGAAGCTGCTCCAAAAAGTGAGGGAGAAATCCAAAATTTCCTCCTCTGATTATAGGCAGGCACGACTTTTATGCTTTGTGAATGCCTTCTGGAGGAATTGCTCTAGCTGTGCAAAGTGGCCTTTGCTTTTCACAGTTAACCAATGGCATTGTTACCATGTGAAACCCAAATTCTTTGCTCCTGCACCAGATGCAGCCCCACAGGCTATGAAATGTTGAAGCGTTTTTTTACGAAGCTCTGCTTGGCTTTGAATTCCAACCAGGGCACATCCAGCCAGGTCATTGCTCCGAGTTGTTTACGGTCCCAGGAGCTGTGGCAGCTCTCTCTGTGTTTACAGTGCCTCTCTGCTGCTCTCTGCTTAACTCCTACACGCACACAAATCAAAGCTTTTGCTTAGGCTTTGAAAGCACCGGAGCTTGGGAAATAACTTCAGCCCTTGCAAAGGCGTGCTGAATTCACCTCTCTAGAGAATTCAGACATGCTGAAACACCTGTACAAATAGAAATAAAGACTAAAGTGTGATTTTTCCCGACCTTTCCTCCCTGCACAAGCCCCTCTGCCCCAATGCCATGTGGTGGCTGCACTCAGAGTTAGCCACACGCAGCGTTACCTGTTATCAGCCATATTTCACAAACCATTTCGTTTAGAGACTCAGGTTGGCTTAGGAACCTTTCCAGTGGCTGAGGTGATGCTGAGGCCATCCCCTGCTGTCCCCTCGTGCAGGTGACCTGATGAAGAGTGCCTCGGGGGAGTTTGCAGATGACCCCTGCTCGTCGGTGAAGCGAGGGAACATGGTGCGGGCGGCGCGCGCGCTGCTCTCGGCCGTCACCCGCCTGCTCATCCTGGCTGACATGGCAGACGTCTACAAACTGCTTGTGCAGCTCAAAGTTGTAAGTGTGGGGCTCTGGGTGCTCTGCCAGGTGCCCACTGTGTGTGTGACCTCGTGGGGAGTGTGCTGGCAGCAGCTCAGCTCCCTTCTGCACCGGGAGGGTCTGGGGTTTTTTTTTTCCTCCCAGCACAACGTGGAGAGGGTCTGGGTTTTTTTTTTTTCCTACCAGCACAACTTGGGGAGGGTCTGGGGGTTTTTTCCTCCCAGCAGAATGTGTGCTGTGGGTGTGTGTCAGTCACTTTCATACTCACTGTCAGTAGATTTTGACATTGAGCTGCACTCTGTTCTGAACTTTTAGTACAGAAACTGAGCCCTGGTCTGCAGCTGCAGGTGAGAGCCAGCCCTCTCATCTTCCAGAATTTCTTATAACCAGTACTCCTTGGCAGCTGCCAGGGATGAGTAGCTTAGGCAGACTAAATAAAAATGAAGGTGAGCTGCTTGAGGAAGCCTTTCCTCCCCATGAGCAACAGGGTGGGTGAGTGGTTTGTGCAGAATTTGAAGTGAAATGACACTGGATACTGGGTCTGCTTTACAAATGAGCTTGGAGAACTCTCCTTGTGCCCTTTGGCCACTGCTATGGCTCTGCCAGGACCCTGGACTCCTCCATGCTCTTTCAAATGTCTGTGCTTGACTGTCCCTGGTAGTTGGTGACTGTGAAATAGTAGCTAAGCACTGTATCCCATTAGCCTTTAAAATGTCCCTCTCCAAAAAAATAACAGGGGGCAGAGGAAGATTGCTTTCTGTGCCTGCCATGAAATACATTCTGAGCTACCTCCTGACCTGTGGACTGTATTGCTTGGAAAAATATGTGAATATATATTCTTTTAGGTGGAAGATGGTCTCTTGAAACTAAGAAATGCTGGCACAGAGCAAGACTTGGGTATCCAGTACAAAGCCCTCAAACCAGAAGTGGACAAGCTTAATATAATGGCAGCCAAAAGACAGCAGGTACAGTGTGGCCACTTTCTTCTGCATATTAATTCTTATTTTTCTTTTCTAGCATGAGGCAGCCTTGCTGCTCTTGGACTATTCTGTCAATACTTTATTTTTTTACTTTGTTGCTGAGTACTTTACGTTGTGCTCTGGGTGTTTAGGGGTTGATAAGCAAGAGAAGTGTGCTTGGCTGTAGGGTGGAATTTGTTCATAGTGGCATTTGGTTATGTCAGTGTTTTAGGGCATTAATTTTGAAGCAGTGCAGGTGTGGGTGAGGACAGGGAGCTGAGCTGTGTCCCAGCCCTGGGGCACTCTGCACTGACCTGTGGTTCACACAGATGGACTGAACATGTCCACAGGCAGCAAAAGCCATGGCTGGGCACACGGGGAAGGGAGTGGTGCTGCTCACTGCACTGAAATGTCCACTGGAGGAGGGGTTTAAATTCCTGTTTGCTGTGGGTATATTCTGTGTTTGCATAGCTTGTGCTTAGCCTTAAATTGCGTGTGAAATTTGTTTTGTTCAACAGCACTGCTGTGACTCATTCTCGTGTAGTTAAGTTTTCAGAAGAAAGCAGAGGTGTGGGCAGTTTAAATTATCAGAAATAGCATAATTCTTTTAGAGCATTTTTTTGCCTCTTCGTTCTGTAGATACGTACAAACCAAAACTGCTTATGCACCTCTGACACTGCTGGGGTTTTTTTGCAGAGATTTGTCTTAGAAAATAAGCTGGGTACAGTCAAAAAGGGATTGCCAGTTGGTTATGTATCTCAAATCTGATTGCAGTAAATGGGAGTAGGGTTGTGATGGCAATGCAATAAATGCTCTAAAACTGCTTTGTGATGGATTGTTCCACACTATGGGAAGTGGTTTTACAAAATCTGTAAATCTCTGTGCCTGCTTGGAGTGCCCTCCCTGCTCAGTGTGTACCTTACAGAGGTCACCTATTGCCCATTCATTTTTGAGAGTCTGACAGAATTTTTTTCTCTTTTCTCAGTAAGGCAGTCCTTGTCTTCATTTTCACAGCCTCTTTGTTAGATTTAAGAGGTAACTTTGAAATGCTGCTGCTGCTAATAACTGTGGTTGTTCCTCTTTTTATAAACTTACTGCTTGTGCTGGGCTCAGAGGTTTTATCTGATCATGGTGCTCTGTTCCAAAACAGAGGTGATGGTGCTTTAGAGAATTACAGCACAGAGTGTTTGGGAAAAGACTTATGGACTTGCTCCCTAATCTTGAATTAGTGGTAATTACAGTCATTGGATTAATTTTGTCTCATTGGAGGTGAACACGAAGTTGAATGAGATGATATATTTGTTCTTCTGAAATTAAATACCTGAGTCTCTTGAGGAGAGTAAACGCCATCTTCTAGGTGTGATTAAAGAAAACATTCTGGTTGTGAGCCTGGGAGTTTAAATTAAAGATGATCTGGCTTCTCATCTGCAAGTGCAAGACAGGACAGCTTTTAAAATGCTGGTCCCCTGCTGTAGAGGAACAAAAATCCAACGTCGGATTTTGAATTGTGCTGTTGTGAATTGCCCTGCAGTGTTGTTGTTTTTTGGCTTTATGAAGCTGTCGTGTTTTGCAATTAGTTGAGCCCTTCAGGACAGGAGTACTCAGCAGACAGATTTGAGCAGATTTGAGGCAAAGAAAACCTGCCTGTCTTTTGAAGATGCAGGGAGACAGCACATGGCTGTTGAATGTGGGCAACTCTCTTACAATGCTTTTATTTCCCCTCTAACTTCCCTACCAGGAGCTGAAAGATGTGGGTCACCGCGATCAGATGGCAGCAGCCAGAGGCATCCTGCAGAAGAACGTGCCCATCCTGTACACAGCATCCCAGGCCTGCCTGCAGCACCCCGACGTGGCTGCCTACAAAGCCAACAGGGACCTGATCTACAAGCAGCTGCAGCAGGCGGTCAGCGGCATCTCCAACGCCGCCCAGGCCACGGCCTCGGACGATGCTGGCCAGCAGCAGGGAGGGGGTGGAGAGCTGGCCTATGCCCTCAACAACTTCGATGTGAGTTGGAAAAACCCCCCCTGGCTGTCCTGTTCATTCACCTGGTTTGTTAAGCACAGCTTGCTTTTGTTGACGTTGTGTCCTGGGAAGTCTTGGGTTTGTGTCTGCTAAGAAAGGCAAGAGACTTTCCTGAAGTGGGAAATGTAAACCTCCTCCATGCAAATTATTAAAAGTTTGAAATTAAGGAGCTCTCAAG